CAGAAACCCCAGCCCAAGCCCCGCGGGCGACCCAGACCAGATCGGCCGCGCAATCGAAGCCCGGCTGCTGCTACGAACGCGGTACCCGCTACCGCTACCAGATCGAGCCGAGCCGGACCGACGGTGCACAGATCGGGGAGATTGGCGGGAAGGGTGCGTACCTCGACGGTGGGGTTGCCGCGGCTGTCGAAGATCTGGCGGGCCTTGACGGACTGGATCGTGGCGGCCATGGCCGGAGCTCTGGTCTCGCGTGGCTTGGAGAGGAAGCCGAGATCGAATCGAGAGGAGGGCGAGAGGGGTGGGGGTTCGCTGTACGGGTGGACGGCCCCTGCTTTCTTATAGCCACGATGCGGATGCAAACGGGGCCGCCGCTTGTTTCTGACGAGCACACGGGACGCCGCGTCTCGCTGCGGGTGGGGCCGCCCGCGTGTAAGGGGCACGGAGATGGAACAACTGGCGAATATGCCGTGGGATTCGCAGAGCGGTCTGGGGAGCGCACCAGGATGGGGACACGTGTCGCCTGCCCATTGGGCCGACCCAGGTGACATCGGGTTAATCATCAGCAAGAGAACTTGAACTTTTGCCGTGTTTTATTTATTATATCGGGTTAATCATCATTATTATTATAATCAATCATCAGATCTGCCGTGTTTTATTTCTTCAATTATACAGCCGTAAACATCGGGTTGTCCGCGTCGTATATACGGGTATAAATACACTTCTTTCATTGTTTATTTATTACATCGGGCAATTCTCTTCTGCTTAGTTAATCGATGAGGCAAATCTTTTGCCTCCGTTTCAGAAAAAAAAATTGTTATTTATTACAGGGAGATGAGACAATGACACGGCGACCGTTGCTCCCAGGAAGCAAGAGGCATCTCAGATTTCTATGCTGGGGCGAAAGATTTCTCTTGTCTTGTCTTGTCTTCACTTCACTTGTTGGCGAAGGCGACGCCCTTGTGGATGCTCTCGGCCAGCTCGCCCTTGGCCTTCTCCAGCCCCGCCCTGCACGCGTAAAAGAGAAGACAGGGCGTTGCATCGTAGGTGAGCTCGGCATGGCAAAGCAGTTTGGGCGACACAAACAAATAATCCTTCCCAGCCTCCTAGGTTATCTATGTATGAAAATTCAGCTGCAGACCTCTCAAACTCGTTCAGCGGGCCGAGCGGCAGGACCTCCTCGACGCCCGACCGGCCCAGCCGCACCTTGGACGCGAAGAAGGGCAGCTCCGTCACCTTCAGGGCGCAGAATTGCGAATCAGAACCACTGTTTGGGGAGGGTTAGTTTGGTTAAGAAATGAGCCAAGGTGACAAGAGTAACCTGACAGGCTATGTAAGAGCACTCCACTATCCCGGCGTCGCCGCGCAGCCCTCTCAGGCACGCGTCCGCGAATTTGGCTGCTGCGTAGGCCTGAGAAGGAAAAAAAATGTAGTGTTACTGGATCCATCATTTGAAAATGCACAGAACAGTGATGATGCACGTATGAGCTCATGGAGACCGACCATGGAAAGAGTCGCGGATCCTGCTCCTGCTTTCGCCTGAAATGAATTTGGGTAGTCAGAAAGGAAGGTCATTGCATTTACATGTACTACAACAGTGGTCATGGTTCCTCTACAACACAGCACCAACACTGGTCAAACACTGGCTGGCCAGCCAACAGCTTACGAAAATGTATTGACCGTCAGGCAGCCACCAAACCAGAACATGTGTCC